TATATATCCATTTTTTGGTGCGTTTGTTTTTTTTTCATTTATTGCAGTATGTTTATCATTGGTCGGTCCTAATATCATATAAACTAAAAAATAATTTTTTTTTAAATATGTGTTTTAATTCGTAAACTGATAACTGCGTTTATCAGTTTATCAACTTTACTTTTTTTTCTTGCAAAAGAACATAATAATTTTAATAATAAAATATAATAATACTTAATAATAATCTTATAATAATAAAACAAAAGTTTATTATTAAATTAATTATTTAACGACAGTAAAAGTTTACACAATTAAATATATAGTAAATACATAGTAAATCAGATATACCTATGTATGTAATAAGCATGTATTATGTATTACTTCTTTTTCAGATTCAGGGTATATATATGTATATATTCTTTTTTAATATTTACTTTTGATAAATATAAAGAAAAAGAAAAGTAAAAAATGCACACGATCATTAAGTTCCATTATTTATGCTTGTTTTTGATTATATATTATAAACATAAACTAAATAAATCTAATTATATTATTATATGATTGTATGTCATCTTACCTGATATGCATTTGATAAAAACAAGAATAGCTATATATGAATATACCGAATGGAATATTCGCTTTATAGTTTGCATCATTGTAGCAAAACACATCGTGGATACTTGTTTAGCGCTTCTTTTCTTAATTTTAATAAGATTCGAGAGATTGCAATTTTCTTTATCCAATATTTTCCTCCTATACGGCTTCTATTATTAATAGCATGTTGTATTGATTGTTCGTAAAGAAAAACATTTATTGAATGTATCAGAATCTTGTTATGCTTGCCCAGTAGCACAGATATTGTAAGCAAAACAGAGAAGTTTAAACTTTATAACGAGTTATTATTATTAAATTGACAAAGACATTTATGGTAAAATGAGAAGAATAATAAGAATTAGTAAGAACGATAAAATACGAATGATAAAAGAACACTGTGATTAAAGATGTTAAAGAAAACAAAATAATTTGATTTTAATTAATAATGTATATCAACACTATATATATATAAAAACAATATAAACTGTCTTTCTAAATTAATATGAAATTGTTCAAAAAACAAAATATTTATATTTATATTTGCTATTGATACTTTGTAAAGTCATAACGACTATAAAAGTTTTATAAGGTCATAGCATAAAACTATCAACATTTCTCTGTTGCTCTCGATAAAACCGGTATTTTTTTTTTTGAGTTTCTTGTTAATAAAGGACTAAAGCCAAGTATAATTTTACAACCAAATATTATAATATGCACTTTTAATTAATTTGACACAATTTAAGACAATCTGCGCTTTGTATAGATAATTGATTTTATTTTCGAGCGTCTTTGTGGCCAACCTTCAAAACTTCAAGCACGAATTCGACGATACAAAAAAGCACAACGATCACATACTGATAATTTTATTCTATCAAAACTTAGGACATATCTTAAACTAATCGCATATACAAAACACTGAAGAAAGACTTGGCACTTACGGCAAAATATTATTAAAATGCTAATAATTGGTTTTATTAATTGGTATTAATTTTTCAATTTTGTTAAATTATGATCTAAGTCATTGTCTCGCTGTTGGCTATACGTACATGACACCGCGCGACAATGATAAACATATGACTATTGAAGAATATAAACGATATCCTTGTAGAGTCTGAAGAGTTCCATTCGCTTGACTCTTATTGGCTGTCGCACTGAATTATTTATTTTTGAACGCTTATGAATCATCTTTTTTTTTTATTTTTCTTTTATTTCGTTTATATTTTTATTCTTTTTATTTTTTTTGGGGGAGGAATCTCGACATCTCGGATTTTTTAACGTGCACTTTTGTTCGGTTGCACTTTAATCACGAGCATCTTACACTGATATTTATATGTATAAAATTAAAATAGTGAAAATATATTCGATTTCTTGTACGTATTTGTATTACGTAATCCTTAAAAACTTATCTTTTTAAAAAAATGGAAGAAAATGGCGTCACCTACACGCATTAGTTATGAAAAATGTTGTATGTACTACTATAAAAAATTATAATTATATGTATATTTATAATTACAAATTATAATTTTTTCTAAATTATAAGTACTTCTATGATAGAGTTTGACAAAAATATTCCGTTAAAAAATTTGCTAAATAATCTTATCCAAATTTACATCTATCGATTTAAAATCCCTAGCATTTTATTTATTAGGATATCTCAAGACTATTGCGCTAATGCTTTTATTGCTATTTGGAAAGAATTTATATTATTGCTTTCTGTCACAAAATTTGAAATACTACAATAATTTTTAGACATTTTTGACAAAATGGTCGATAAGATGTTGATGAGACAAACGTTTGCCGAAAAAAAAAATTATATTTATCATTTTCTTTTAACGAAATGTTCTTGCCAAACTCTACGTAAACAAAACATGTTTATAATTCAAAAATAAAACATTTATGGATTCACGTTCATATAAATTTTGTTTATCTTTAATATCATTACTTTTATAGGGAATTGAAATGACTATTTTGTATACAATCTTTTTGTTACTAATATATTTTTATAAGTTTTTATTTTTAATTAGCGCAATTTTTTCATATCATTATTTTTGCAGAGTAGCTTTTTACAGTAATTGTTTTGTAATAGTTTGTGCGTTAAATTATGATTATAATTTAAAATCTAGTTTGTAAAAATTTAATTAATTATAGTCTATAAATCATTAATAATATGATTAATATATCTATAATATGATTTTTATTTTTCTGATTTTTTTTTCAAGAAAATTTACAGTAATTGTTTTGTAATAGTTTGTGCATTAAATTAAGATCAATTTAAAATCTAGTTTGTAAAAATTTAATTAATTACAGCCTATAAATCATTAATAATATGATTAATATATCTATAATATGATTTTTCTGAAACATTTTGTATGTTTATATCGGCATTCGTGTTTATATGTGTGTATATACTTACATTATTTTTGTATCTCAAAAAGTTATACCGATTTGAGATAGACTCTGCATTTAATACATTGCAGATATTTTACTTACGTGTTCACCCGATCCCAACGCACATCTATTGTTTCGTTAATAGACTTGCACCACATCTGGCACCACATCTGGCACCACATCTGGCACCACATCTGGCATCACATCTGGAATAATGGCATTTGGTTCGATAGATTGACGGGAAAAGAACGTTTTTCTGTAAAAATTAAAAATCGTAAACAAATAAAAAAAAAAACGTTTTTAACAATAAAAATACTTATAAAAAATTAATCAAAACTTTCAACATTGCGATTAGTAATTATTATTGGTTGCAGTAAAAAGAATATAAAATTCATAGCAATCTCTCGCTTGATAATAACTAGTTAATTACTAATAAATAACTTTATACTTTAAAGTTATTTAAAGTATAAGTAAATAACTTTATGATAATCATAACAACAATCATAAAGCTGTTTATATTTCTAATTTTTAAGAAAAGCAAGATTGTGTATAATAATATTATGAAAATAATTATGTAAGAAATAAGAAAAAAATAGGTTACCACATCGTTTGCAATCACTTGTTTTTTTTTTATTTATTAGGAACATACTAATTTTTAATTTATTAAAATCACACAATTTACAAGTGAGAAAAGGATTTTCATAAAGTATGTTAAGTTTAATTAATTAAATAATTGATTACCTATTTTTTTAAATAATTAAACAGACATATAGTTTTTAATTAATATTATAATATTAGTAATTAATTTTGAGTAGAATGACACTAACAAAAACTTCAAATGTTTAATATGCATTTATGTATATATATATTATTTTTTCCTTTTTTATATTTACTTTTGATAAATACAAAGAAAATGAAGAGTCAAACATATACACACAATCATTACATCTTACCTAATAAGCATGAGAAGATAACAAAAATAGCTATGTATGAATATAACAAACGGAATATTCGCTTTATAATGTGCTTCATCCAAGCAAAGTACATTATGGATATTTTTTTGGCGAATTTTAATAAAATTCGACAAACTGAAATTTTCTTTATGCAATCTTTTCCCTCTATACGGCTTCTATTATCAATAGCACGCTGTATTGATTGTCCGAAAAGAAAAACATTTATTGAATGTAGAAGGGAACAAATTTAGAAGCATGTTACTTATCATAAAGATAAAAAAAATTATATGATCACATGGGTCCAGAAACGCTACTTTTCCAAATTATAAGTACTTCTATGATAGAGTTTGACAAAAATGTTCCGTTAGAAAATTTGCTAAATAATGATTTCTCTCCGCTCTTATCCAAATTTACATCTATCGATTTAAAATCTCTAGCATTTTATTTATTAGGATATCTCACGACTGTTGCGCTAATGCTTTTATTGCTATTTGGAAAGAATTTGTATTATTGGTTTTAGTTACAAAATTTGAAATACTCTAATAATTTTTAGATATTTTCGACAAGATTGTCGATAAGATGTTGATGCGACAAACGTTTGTTGAAAAAAAAAATTATATTTATCATTTTTTTTTTAACGAAATGTTCTTGCCAAACTCTACGTGAACAAAACATATTTATAATTCAAAAATAAAACATTTATGGATGCACGTTCATATAAATTTTGTTTATCTCTATGGTAAGTAGAGAATATATTTCTAAATTTTGGCTATTTATTTCTGAAATATTTTGTATGTTTATATCGGCAATCGCGTTTATATGTGTGTATATACCTACATTATTTTTGTATCTCACAAAGTTATACCGGTTTGAGATAGACTCTGCATTTACTACATTGCAGATATTTTACTTACGTGTTCACCCGATCCTTCTACCGCGTCGACGATGGACTGGCATATCTGGAATAGCGGCATTTGGTTCGATACGTTGGCGTTGAAGGGAAAAGAAAGTTGTTCTGTAACAATTAAAAATCGTAAACAATCTAAAAAAAAAAACGTTTTTTACAATAAAAATAATTATAAAAAACTAATCAAAACTTTCAACATTGCGATTAATAATTATTATTGGTTGCAGTAAAATAAATATAAAATTCATATTACATTTGTTTGAATCTTTCCCAGAACTATTATGATAAAACAGCATAGCATTACGTTTGAAAAATTCAAATATTGATATTGATATCATATAATAGTTATATTGAATTTAATATCAACGAAAAAGATGATTTGTTTTTATTAACATTATGAATTGAAATCAAAATAACTTTTTCCTATACTGCATTAATATATGCATATATGTGTTCTACGCATACATACACAAATACGCATATATATTTTACTATTGCACATACATACGTATGCACGAATCGAGAGATACATGAATCTAACAATCCATTTATAATTTTGAGAATTTTATATTAGAAACGATAATTTTATTTTAATTAATAATATTGTAGATTTATAAATTTTTATTTCTAATTCAAACATTTTATTGTTTATAGAATTATTACTATTATTATTTGTTTCGATAATAATAAAAATAGTAAATGGAAATATTAAGAGAGTGATAAAAGTTCTCTTAACTTGTCCTATATTTTGAATTTTATTTATAATTAAAGCATTAGGGTTGGCCATATAAAATAATATGTATATATAAATTAACGAAGTATAAAAATATATGTATTAACATTAAAAGTCTAGTATCTAATATAATGTGTGTATATAATATAGAATTTACCCGTATAGACAACATTGTATCAACACACATGCAATTGATATTACTACAAAAATTGTTACAAGTGTAACCGTTTGAACAATGTATTTATCGGTAGTATTCAGATTTTCAAAGCTTTCGGTGAATAGTACTGTTTCTGTTGTTTTCTTGCCCAAATTATATATCCATATATTATTGTCTTCGTATTTTTTTCTATTTATTGTAGTATGTTTATCATCGGCCACTCCTGATATTATATAAACTAAAAAATAATTCTTCTTAATATATATATTCTAATTCATAAACTGGGGACCTGTTCTGTAACTTTTAACGATGGCATTCCGTGTCATTGTGACGTATCGGTATATACGATCGTAAAACGTATCGGAAAACAACTGCTATGATATTTAACGACATCAGTAAAGGTTACAGAATAGATTACATTTATCAGTTTATCAACATTATTTATTTTTTTATCTCACAAAAGAATGTAATAAATATAATAATAAAATTTAATAATATTTAATAATAATCTTATAATAATAAAACCAAAGTTCGTTGTTACATTAATCATTTCCTAAAAATTATTTTTTAATAATTTAACTTTTATTAACAGTTAAAGTTAAACACAATTAA